TAATAATAATAGAATTTCTAACTGTTTCATCCAAATTAGCCAGGGGGTCCAGGAGCCTATCCTGGCAAGCAGGTGCAAGACAGGATACACCCTGGATAGGATGCCAGTCTATCAGGGTGCACACAGTCACACCAGGGCCATTTCCTGAGAAGCCAATTAACCTACCAGCATGTCTTTGGGAGGTAACCGGAACTCTCAGAGGAAACACTGGTAAAACATACAAACTCCATGCTAATAACACCCCTGGTCTAGAGCACTGTGAAGCAGCAGTGCTAATCACTGTACCACCAGGTTGCCCAGTAATACATCAAAATTCCTTTAATTCCCACCGCACTTTTAAACCCAATCAGATTCAAACAATTTTAAATGGCAAATAACGTTCTCTTCTCCACGCTTATTTTCTCTTACCAGATTGGCACGTTCACAACTATTTGCACCATAAGGGAATTTAGCTTTGAAGAAAAAAATAAATGTTAAAAATCAGCTCCTGATACTGACTTTACAAGTGAGAGCCTTTTAGTGACTGTAAATGCAGATTGTGTAGCTGATGTGCATAACTTGACCAGACTACCAAGAAAACATTTCCAGTTCCATGCCAAGATTTCTATTGTAAAATCCTAGATCTGCATTAATATTGACCCATATGTACCTCTTCTCTTCCGGTCTTCTATGACTATGTTTTTTAAGTGTATAAAGTTTTTCCAAGCTTCAGTTTCCATTTGGTTTTTGATTTTTCATGTTTCAAGTATTACAGATGTTCACTGTGGCATTGCCAGGTAAAACCACAGTAAAGCACAGTAACAGCATGGGAAAAGCATAGTAGCGTGGCATATTAAATATCAGGTATTGTGACAAAGCAAAGGAAGAGCATGACATGAGTATGAGAAAACTCTAGGAAACTATGCACGGCTACAGTAAAGGATATTCATAAAGGAAGCTGTGTGGCACACGGCCTTCAAATAAACCCAGTCCATGCAGAACCTATAGTATTAATTCCCATATGATCCTGCTGGAGCCCCATGCTTACTGCTCAAACCACTCTGTATCCTCTGCCCTCTGAGAACTGAGCCTGAGCAAGACGAAAACAGCTTGTGACAAACTCGCCCGACTGAAAAGCTTATGGGCACACCCTGCTCGCTGGCATCCCTCTCTCTTTGCCGGCTGGCATGGGCACCTTCTGCCTCTTGACACAGAGCAGATGGCACTGGTGGCACAGCCATGCCAGGGCACCCACTGTTCATGTCCAGATGAGGCCTGGCACAAGCCCAGTCAGCTTCTTGTCCAGCAGACTGCACAGCGACAGACATGCACTTTAGTAGGAGACACTGTAAGTGTGGAAAAAGCACTGCCACAGATTCAGACTATGAGACAACCCAATCCATTAAGGGCCCAATACATGATACATGATACATGATGCATGAGGGCAGGTACAAGTGGCTAAGCTACAAGCCTCACAGCTATGACACTTAAGAATTGGTTAACCCCTTGTTCACCATGAAACAAAACAAATAGGAACAAAAACTGAAAGGTTACAAATGTGAGAAGGTACAGCAAGCTGGCACAGTGGTGAGCATTGCTGCCTTGGGTTCAGTTCTGGAACCTGCATGGAGTTTGTATGTTTTCCCCAGTTTCCTCCCACAATCCAAAGATTTTTTAAAATCTTTCCACATTCCAAACAATTCTAGTAGGTCAACTGGCTTCTGGGAAAATTGGCCCAAGAGTGACTGTGTGCAGAAGAAATGAGACAAAATTCTGAAAAGCCGAAGTGAGAGACTGATAAAGAGTTACAGGCAATGCGTAGCTGCTCAAAGAAGGTGCCACCAGATTCAACTTATTCAAACAAGGTTTGTTTGTGTTATATGCTTAATCGGGTTATCTTCAGCTTTAAGATTTTCATGAAGATCTAATTATGTTTTAGATTAAAAATATATGAGAATACAGACCTAGGGGCTGAAATTTTCTCAGTATTACATTACAATTTGTTCCTTGCCAGATTGCAGACCACTGTAAGTTTAACACATTGCAGGAGAAAACTGCAGCGGTCATAAACTTCAGGAAGATTTGGTCTGTCTAACATCTGTCTAACATGCAAAGTACGATGTCTTCCAACTTTAGAATTGTTCTGATATAAGTCAAGAAGTGGTTGGCAATGTGGTGCTGTAGTCAGAATTGGTGCTTTAGTGCTATGGCCCTGGGGTCAACTCTGGATGTGAAGGGCTTTCTGTGTGGAGTATATGTTCTCCTAGTTTTTGAGTGGGTTTTCTCCAGGTGCATTTGGTTCTTCCAATGGTCCAAAGACATACTAGTAGGTTAATGGTCTCCTGGAAAAATTGGTCCTGGTAAGTTTGTGCCTGTCTGTCTTTGCATGTGTAACTGGTGTCCTGTCCAAAGCATCCCCCCATCCGCCCTTTGTATGCCAGTATAGGCTCTGGATTTTCCACGACCCTGAACTGGGTGATGGGGTTAGAAAATGGATGGGCAGATGAATGCCAAGAAGTACTGTGATGTACAGTAGTGGACAGATTCCTTAGATCACCCCTACTATGTTTAACTTTCAAATTCTCATTCATGTGAATTCAAGACTCCTTAACTCTTAGTTCAGGGAAGCACTTTAACTTGACAGATTATTGATGGGTTTCATCTTACTGCCTTTCAGTTCTTCATATAGTGAAAGTTAAACATGGTAAGAAAAAAGGAACACTGCTAATTGCAAGAGACGTTAGGCTTTTAGAATCTAGATGTCTAGATTCACACAGATCAGTAAAACTACTACAGTATTTTCACCCATTGTATTGCTTACTCAAAGAGAAGCTGACTGGTCAACATTTTCTCCGCCAAGAAGATACTTGATTTTCCCAGTGGGGAAACGGGCTGATTGTTTTACGATGGATGGGGCCGTTGGCCCACACAAAGACAGTAAGATCCAAAGACTACAAACACAATTCCTGGAAATGTGCTATTTTTTTTATGAATGAGTTCCATTAGAGAAACCATTGCCTGCCAGGGCAGCATGTAATAAGGTGTAAGTGCCTATCTAACTTAATGTCACAAATGAATTAAGCTACCAATATAGTGTGATTGTCTGGGAAAAGGTAAAAACAATGTAGATGGACAAATTGTAAAAACTGTGCTTGCCCTTGCTGTTCTATATCTCATCGATCAACGACACAGAGTCCAAATCCTCCAATACTTTCAAATCAGAGAGCAGTGTGTCCAAATTTATGACAGTTATTTACAGGACTCTATCTATAGCCCTGGCCTTCTTCAGCACCGAAACTTGTAAGATAAGGATCACAGCAAAGTTTATATCTGGTGCTTCTCAAGTGTGTTCACAGTAGTCAGCAGCACCACTCTGAGAGGTCACAGTGAGTTCATTACAAAACCTGTCCAGATGAAGCTCTCCACAAAGTAATTAAATATTACAGAGCATAACACAGCATGACCTCCTAGTGGACAGGGGCACCTTGGAGCCTACAAGCCATCTGGACAGCGATCCCGAGATTTAATGTCACAGACGCTAAATCACACCCCTGTGCTGAGCAATCTCATCTCCATCAGGGAGGTCATTTTCAGAATTTCCATCATTCTCTGGCCATCAAAACAGAGCTTAGTTATTTACCGGTCCAGTGAGTTTTGTTCTACCAGAATGAAACAGTACTGTGACAAGCTGCCTGTTTGCATAGGAGCTCCGGGTCAAGCCAGAATGGAGTTCTAGTCCGTCACACAGCAGGTCAGATATACACTAAAACACGGCCGTGTCAATATATAATTGCAGCATCAACTAGACTTAAATCAATGGAGGCACTCTTCAGCTATTGAGGAATCTGTTAAAGTCTTTCAAATGTTTTCCGATCAATTAGATTTTCCAATTGCTCCAGCCACCAGAAGTTAACAATCTTTAAAACATGAGAAAAGCCACAAAAGACAAAGAGCTGGTGTTTATAGTGTGGACTGCACAGTTTAAGCATCTCCCCCCTTAACCATTGTTTAACACTTAGTAGCACTTAGTCCTGCATATGCTTAGAACAATATCCCCCAGCCTTGGTCCTATAGATCCACTGGCAGCTAAGTTTCTTAATTTCTTTATCTTTTCAAAAATCACCTAGAATGGATGATGAAGCCTTCTGGTGTGGTGATAAGTCCCAGGGAGTTCCCAGAGCCAGTACAACAAGAGGGTTTCCAGTGCAATGTGCAATGTTGGAAATCTTGCCTGAACAAGCTTCTGAATCATTAATGGATCTCCAGAACAATGGGGGAAAATCTGTTGTCAAAGAGGACACAGATGAGCCCAAATGTTCTGGTGATTGCTCCCAGAATGCACAGTCCCAGAATGCAGTGCTAAGCAGCTCCAAACATTGTGATTTGACAGAAACGGGACTGTACCACTGACTGTTTGCATTACATTGCAACAGTGGTGAAACAACAGGTAATTGGCTGTAGCAAGCTGGCCTTTGAAGCACAGCACTGCACAAGCCTTATCTCTCTTCTGACCATTTCTTCTTTAGAGCAAGGATGCCCAGCAGTTTTTAAAGCTCTCTTTAATCAACTACTTCTGATTCAGCTGGTCCAGTTTGGCCGATAATTAATTCAACTAGGTCATCAAGAGCTGGACCGGAATGAAAACAACCCTGCTATTGGCCACCCCTACTTTAGGGATCTGTCTTTTGAACTTACTGCACAGCTAGGACCTGCACTAGGTTTCCTCTAGGTGGTATCTATATGTACACATAAAAAATCCAGGCCAAAACCAAACTGTTGAATAGAGGCAATCCGAGGTCTGCTTGGGCAGAGCTCTCCTACGAAAGTTTCCTGTTTTGTTACAGAATTATTACCACAAATTGGACTTGGCAGGTCCGCTGAGGGTGTCAGTTAGGTAATTAGGCTAATACTCCCTTAATGGAACTGATTTATCTCTTTGAGACTGTGCAGCTTGCGAGGGTTCTGTAGTTTAATGGACCCATAGAGGAAGGTGAGACAAGCAGAGAGGGTGCAGTACTCACCTTGGGCAGAGGGGGCAATGTTGCTCAGGGTGATGGCACAGGTCCACAGTATCCAGAGTGACAGTGCCATGCTGTATGGCTTGGCAGAGGCGAAGGTCCTCTCTGGTGCTCTGAGAGTGGGCATCGTTTCTTGGATCACCTCCTCCTGTTGTACCAGGTATGAACTGGAGAGCCTGTGAAAAAGCACAGCACCACACAGGAGGTTTAGAAAAAGGCCTCTCAAGTTTCCCCTGTTAAGGGGATCCCTTTTGTACATGTCATCTTCAACAGGCACACCCCTTGATTTGAGATGGCATCAAAATGTCATTAATACAATTGATACTGAATTAATCATTCCAGTTAATGTATAATGCATGCATGTTCACAAGGGTGTTATGACTGGTATTTAAAATAGCACCACAGGCTTTAAACAATTTATTAAGTGCAACTTAGCTAAAGAGAGAAAAACTGATAACCGAACAAGTGTTGATTTGAGCATGTTTCGCAGCTTAGGAAGACTCACTATTTAGATTCCCCCAGGTGAAAAATCCACCTTGACTCTGGGCAGAGGCAACATTGACAGTGAGCTGTTTCTGGACTGAACAGTAAACTGATACATCTGTTCTTTTTCTTTTCCCGTTTACAACCGTTCTTTTGTGCAATATATGCCAGGGACCTGTGCAATACATTTATATTTATATTCATATTGTGCAATACGAGTTTTTTGTGTACTATTCTGTTCTGGTTTGTTCTTTGTGTGTTCTGGACTTCTTAGTGCACTTCTCACTGTACTGATTGTATTGTATGTATTGTATTATTATTATTGTATCATTTGTTACACTGTGGTTGTGTTGTCTGTGTTAAGCTGCTGTTGCACTGCAATTTCCCTCACAGGGGCAATAAAGTATCTATCTATCTTGTATTATACCTTTGTTAGACTGCTTAGTTGGAAGGGTGCAATAACAAGGGTACCAGCACTAGGGGCCTCCAAAAACAAACTCAAATGCTTGATTTATCATACAGCCCTTTCCTTCATCCACATTTTTGTGTATTCACCCTGTCAGGCCAAGAATCTGAAAAGCATTCCTGAAGCTTCCATAAAATTTTCTAAGGCCCAAAGCTTCTCAGACAGTGTCCCAGGCTCAGTTAAAAATTGCACTGTGTGTGTTTCCTCTACTTCATCACCTCTCCATTTATAACTGTTACTCACTTCATGTTCATTTTTTTATTAGACAGCTGAATTACAGTATTCATTTTCTGTCATTTTATTTTCTTAACTTGCATACCTAAGAAGACATCAAGTACAAACAAAATGACAGCCCTTGTCTGAAACATACTCCCCTATGCTGTGAGATATGAGCTGCTGCCCTCAGTCACCTGACCAGGTGGTCGAAAACGATTGATAAGGTGACAGTTTACAAAGCAGGATACCTGCTCTCTGTCTACCTGGGGAACAGAGAACAGATTCTCTGTGGACAGCCTCATCTGAGGGAAAAGTAGTGACCAATCAAGAGACCATGAAGGTCTGGAATTGTGAGTTTTGTGCTTTTGGACATTTTTTAAGAATCTCAGGGAGAGACTAGAACTTGTTTGTAAAGAATCTTGGAGGGACTTGGGCTTTGTTGAAAGTTATTTGGTTTTGAGGCTGGTAAGAGGCTTGGCATGATAGTTAGGGACTTTAGGAAGTACGTCAACAGCTCAAATGGACCTCAAGCTTTTGTTTTGATATTTCATTGTTTTGGTACTGAGTTGGTATGTCTGTTATCCTAGTCATCATATTTTTAAAGATCTCATTATGTCTCGCCCAATGGAGTGTCACACATATTTATGTTGATTTGCAGTGTATTTGGTGTATACATACAGTATATGGTATAAGAGAGCTTTTTCCTGACATGTTTTTCAATATCTACAGGAAGTAGGAAACTAGGGATACTAAGCCTAGGTATACACGGTGTCATATTGTGGACGTTGAATTACTATTACATTGTTATTGGACTGTTGTATAGGCTTTGTGCATAAATGGGCTTAGGGCTGTGGAGAACTCAGCTGAGTTCAGTCCTTCGCCTGAGAAACAGAAGTCCAGAATTACAGCAGTGTGCATTCACCTGAATAAAGACTGTCTGTTGTTATTCTTTGAAACCCTTTCAAAAAGAAAAATAAAATAAATCCAGGACCATCTGCACCTCTGATTTACATACTTGTCAGGGTTGTGTCACTGGTGCAGGTCTCTGACCTAATATATCACATTTCACCACATGATATGTAAAACCTAACATCTCATTTAGAATAGTGTGTACAATTGTGGTCAGTACATTGCAGAAAATATATTTCTGCTCCGTCTGTTCAGAGAACAGATAAATTACAGGGCTTAAGTGAATGTCATTCACAGGCTGAAGGGACCGGACCTTTCTTGTGTTAAACAGCAAAGACTACGAGGGGACCTGATACAAGTATTCAACCCAGCTAATTGTTTTCCTGAATTAACAGTGAAATACAAACCACAATGCACAAGCAGAAAGTGTGTTGTAGTACATTAAAACAGATAACAGGTGGGACTTCTTTACCCAAAGGGTGGCAGGAGTATGGAACAACATACCTGGCCAATAAGATCCTTGAATCAATTTACGAACTACCCACCAAGATAGGTAGGCCGAAAGGCCTCTGGTTACTAACCATTCTGATGCTCTCAATACTTTCTGTTTGCGCTTGATTTTCTGCATTACCTTCTTGGGAATGACATTCCTGAAATAAATGTCAAATGGAGATTACAATGCCATTTTGAAGGCATTCAAAATTTTCCTCTTTATGACAAGGTCGGAATTTTCCAAAAACACCTTTATATATTCCGGCACTTCCTGCTCCTGGAGTCTGGGGGAATCCCCCGACTTGAGATCACTTGATTGGAAACGGCGAACATAAACGTCACCTCGGAATGAGAGAATCTTTAAGCGCACCCGCTGCAAAGAAAATCGAATGAACGCAGCACAATGCACTCCTTTAACCACCTCTTAGTTTATGCGATAAACAGAGTCTGCGAATTAAGATGCGTTCGTTTGCTTTTGGCCGGCAGCTCTCCAGATTGTATTCTGTAAGGCTAAGTGTGTATTAGAAGGATATTAATGCTCACTCCCTCTTTCCTGCTCCCTCTCTCCACATTATCTGGGAGTGAGTTACATCTCTGAGAGTAACAGAATTGGCGCTGTGTGCCAGGGAGTTCTGGACAAGCTCCTCAGCATACAAATGGCTCGCATTCCCCGTATTTAAATTCCACGGCGGCGCAAGTCATTAGCTCCAGTCCTCGGGGTAGAGAAATTTCATTTGCTTAATGAAATAAATAAAAAATGTGGAACTTTATTCTTTTTTTCCGTTTTGCTGCGGGGTCTCTCCGTTACCAGAAAAAGCCTGAACGAGAGGGAAAGGTGCAGAGAGAATTGAAATAGCGCCGGGGTTTATTTCCTTCTGTTGCCGCAATCACTGCTGTTATTTCATTCATTTATTTAAATAACGTTTCTTTCTTGTTTTTTCTTTGCATAAACCGATCTGGATTACTAGACTAAGTGGCTATTTGGGGATACTAGAAACGTTGTATTTTGGCGTGGCGTGGAGAGTCAGGCGGACTGCATCCGTTCAGAGACAACGCAGTTTCTGCCCCTCGGTAACTTGCATACATCTGGCCCTGAGCAGAGGACACGCACGTCTCTGCTGTACTTGACCTCGGCGTGAGGTCACATAGTCTGGTCATGCCACCTGCACAGCAGACAGAGCTCTGCTGAGCTGTGGTGTTTCTGTTCTGGTTAGCCTGAGTTTTCTCTATACCAAGCTTTGTCTATGCATAATACAGCCTGCCTGCCTTGTGATACACCTACTCAACACATGCACGGACATGCAGAAGTCTTAGACATCAAAGTCATAACTACAGACTACACTTGCTATAACTACAGACGAGTGTGGGTGAAATGAAATTATTTAGCAATCCTGAATTCATATTGATTAGGACACACTGAATCTTTATCACAGCAACTTCAGGCAAACGACAGGGGAGCAGCCAATATAAAGTGTTGTAGTATCTAATCCATCACATTTACAGTACCAATCAGATCTAATTACCTAATGTTCCATTGTGAGGTGCTCCTCCTCATTAACACCATTTGTTCCTCTCTGTATACCCACAAAGCTAAAAGGCTGCTCTTTGTCTTACAAAGTACAGATCTATTGGGATTAACTATCATCATAAAACCAAGTGACCCAAAGTGTGAGTAGATGGTCCCCATAGACGTGCTTCTGCATGAAGAAGGAAAAGCACTGCGAGAAAAGAGAAGAACGTCACAGAATGTCTATGACGGTAACAGAGCAGCATATGTTTATCGATTATTTCTGAAATAACTGTTTTTAACCTTTCTTATCCAATATCTTTCTTCGCTTCGCCACGATTTCCAGCAATGACGATCATGCTTTCCCATTCCTCACTCCTTACTTTTCTATATTTGACTGGGTCTCACAACCTGTCATTTTTTTGTTTACCAGGACAGACAGAGCTGCTGCATTGCAATGCTACTGTCCTTAGACATTGCTGCTATTACAAGAGCTGGACTTGCACTGTGTGTCAATAGATATACATCTCATTGTCTATACTGTACATTCCTGTAATATATTACACTAGACAGAGCATGCCTGGCCTGTGCTGTTTGTGCTCTACCAATGGATAGATTAGACTCCTATTTTCTGTATTGTGCCTATTCTAGTGAATCTTGGCACCTTTCATTCTCACAGCAGTCAGGCATGTAGGAGAAGGAGCCCATTGTCTTGTGCAGAAATGAGGGTCTGTACAATACAATCTCTTTCTTCTGTGGGAAGGGAAGGGAGCACAGGGCTTCAGCTGATCCCTCTCGCATTGATCTGCTGAGCCGTGGCAACAGACACGCTGCAGTCTGAAGCATTGATCCCTCCGAGCGCCTGCCTATTTATAGTGGAGCTGTGTGTGAGTCAGAAAGGTTCGCTCCGGCACTGAATCAAAACGAGCCAGACTCCCTTTAGAGCATCTGCTTGCCACGGCTGTACAGACAGTCCCATTCTGATTCCCCTGTTTTTGAAGCAGAGTTCATAATATCTACTCCATTTCCTTGGCCTCATTTTTACACCGTTCATTTTCAGGCACACTTGACGCCCATTTCTTCATTGCTGGTTTTGCCAGGAA